AGTAGACTTCCCTTCTGTTGTCTATCACCCCCCCCCCCCCCCCCCTCCCCCCACAGAATAAAAAGGCATGGCCTTCTATTATGTCCCAGCGAATCGGTCTTTTTTTTGGTGGCGTTATATTATGTCTTGTCGGAATTTTTTTCGCATTTTTCCTTGAAATTGGTATGGCGTTATATTATGTCCAGAGAATCAAACGGTCCGGGGTGGCCTTCTATTCCGGGTGTCTTTCTATTATAGGGTGGCGTTCAATTTTGGGGGGTTTACTAATTGTCTTTTTTTTCTATTAATAAAAATTATATTTTAAGTATTCAAAGGAACAACAAACTGATGATTTTTCTATAAAATAAAAAGATATTACATGAAATTCTAATCTGTTCACTATTTGTGTATTAATAACGGACAAGTGCTGTTTTTTTTTCTATCTTTCTACGCTGTTACATTATAACTTTCAATGTTTGACTGTTTGGAATGATCAATAAATGCACTTTGAAATTGAATAAAATCCTTAAAATATTTAAGAACAAAAAAAAAAAATTGTTTAGCAAAATCTTCTTTTAAATATATGCTAATACACAAATCATATTCAAAAATAAATATATAACTTACATTTAGTTGATTATATGAAGAACAATTCATTTTTTTTTTCATTATAACCTTGGCGAATTTGTTCTTGTTGAAGGTCAATAGTAGAACAAATTGGATGTATGTCGATTTATTTTTGATTACTTCATTGACATACTTATTTTTCTTGATTGTGCGAATAATAATAATAATAATAATTTCAAATGAGATTTTAAGTTAAATTATAATTTTATTTTAAACTGAAATACAAGAGTTTATTGAGTAATGACAGTAGAATATATTTTAATGTTACATGTTGAATCGTATTATTTCATAGACTTGATTGGTTAAAATAATATATTTACATTTCATCTGGATAGTATTGAAAACTTTCAAATGCTTTTAAAAATGTTAGTTTTATACCATTAAATTTTCCTTTTTCTTATTATATCTTCGTAAAAATCCCATTAATCGTTCAATGTTTTATTTTTTATTGTCCATGTGGTAATCTAAATAAATTTTGAATTTCTGTTAAGCTTTGGTGTATTTTCCCTTTGCAAAAAAAAGAAAAACGGTAGTGGTAGCATGACTCATCAACTATGCCACATATTAAATCTGATTGGACAATTTCGAACCATATAATATCAATGAAAATTTTTATTTTAAACTATTTATTTAATTGAATAATTGTTTTTTTTCTTTAAAAATAATAAATTTTCTAAATTTCAATTAACTCTAAAAATAAACTATACCATCATTAAGTCTGTTACTAAGTACAATCTTAACATATTTATCACTAATGGTATCGGTTCACAAATAAAAGAAAAAAAAGTCAGCAACCATATGAATTCTTCATTTTGTTAAAGATTAAGTTACCATGAACAAATATCCTATTTCTGATGATGATGATGATGATTTTGATCGTCCATCATCACTTTTACAAACACAACGTTTTTCAAAGCCTGGTACTGTTGGTAACAAAAATTTTACTACACCACAAACAAAATCAAAATATAATGAAGGATCAAGTTTTAAAATAAATTTAAATCAAATTAATGATGATGATGAAGATAGTTTAAATGATTCTGATGATGATACAAATACTAAGACAGGTCGAAGTTCATCAAGTATTACAACAAGTCAATTAACACCTAAACCAAAAGAACGTTCATTTCTTAGAAAAGATGCAGAAAAACCAAAAATAAAACCACGCCATACTGATATTGGTGATGATGATGATGATGATGATGATGATGATAGTGATGATGAACGAAATGTATTTGGTAAAACAAAAACAAAAATAGAACCAAGTCCAAGACATCAAATATTAACATCACGTGAAGAAGAACAAAGAAATCAAACATTTGCACAAACTTTTATCAATAAAGAAAAAAGACGATCACCAACAGATATATTTTCAACTGATCGTATATCTGATACCCGAAAAAAAAGTACAACCTTTGCAAATGATCGTGACGAAAAGAAACGGACAGATAGTGATGATGAAAGCCTTTCAAGTAGACAATCAAAACATAAGGATTTTGCAAAATCTCGACATTCGCCAACAAGTATTGATCAAAAACAAAAATATAGTAGTCGAAGTAAAGAATCAATGGATCACAGTGATAATGATGATGGTTTTTCTAAAACACAATCACAACGACAAGATTTTAGAAAAGAAAAACAATCATCTCATGATTCAGTACAGGTAATTTATATACTACATAGAAATACTTAGCCATCCGATTCTGACAATTACTCAGTACCAGGACTTACATTCTGATTGATTTACTAATAGAAAGAAATAATTTTTGTTTCGATTTCCAAAAGCTATCTATTGATATTGAAAAACTTCTAGTTTGAAGATATTCAGACTAAACAATTTAAAATTTTCAAAGTTGTTTTTATCATATATTATAGGATTAATCAGTTTTACTTGACTATAAATAAAAAGCGCTCCTTAACTCCTTCTAGCTTGTACAATAGTTTACATTTGAAAAAAATTTTTAATCCCCCATCTATCATTCTATAGTGCGAAATACTATGAAATCTTTAGATAATAATATTCTTCACTTTTAGCTTATTCTCGAAAGTGTGAAAGTCCTATGTCTTTTTTTTTGTCATTGTTCATTTTCTTGATACAACTGTGAAACAATATAGTTTGTTATTCTTTTTCTACACATGATGTATGTAATATCAGAAGTATGCGGTGTTATAGAAAATAGTAATTTTTGTGCCTAGACATACAATCAATCTTAAGGCTTCTGAAGAGTTCATCAGACATTAGAAGTCATTCAATCTGTTGTTTTATTCTTCATTATTTTACCAATTACTGAAAGATAAATCAACACATTTCGATAGAATCTGATAAGTTTCGAAAAAGATCAGGCCCATTATTTCAATGTTCTATTTTCTACAATAATCAAGATTTCTATACTATTCCAAAAATTTTTCTTTATTCTATTTTATCAAATGTCATTAAGCTATTTTCAGATTAATATGGAATATATTAATCTATAAAGGTTGATATCATATGTTTACTAAATGAATTTAAGTTTTATTCGTTTTTTTCTTTATAATTCTCATTAGTTTTTTTTTTTATTAACATATCAAAGAATACTGATTCGCATGTTATTCAACATCAATCGTCATCAAGTCGACCTGGTTCAGCAAGTAAAAAAGAAATTGACTCTGCTCGACGTTCATCATATTGTGAAGATCAAGATTCAGCTATTCCTCCAACAACAACAAATCAACAACCTCAATCACGACCAACATCAGCTAAATTAAGTACAACACGTCAACAAACTCAATCAGCTATTGATACTGTTACTTCTGCTAATGTTCCACCTACACTTGATCCTCTAACATCAAACAATGAAGCGCTTGCTGCTACGCTTCAACCTGCATTACCACCATCACCTCCTCCTCGTTCTTCTGCAAAACTTCCACCTAGACCAAAATCAAGTTCAAATAAAACAACAACACTAGGAGGTATTAATAAAAAGCAAACATTTAAAGTTCCATCTCGTTATCAAGAAATTACATCACGTGTTGATAATGGTCGAAAACCATCTTCTACAACGGATTTAACACGGTCTGTTGAACGTGCACTTCAAAAAGAACTTCAGTCACAAACATTACCAAGACCACAAAGTGCTCGTTCAAGAAAACAATCCGCAAATAGCAATCATAGTGGAAGTCAACGACGTCGATCATTATCAGGTTATGAACATGTTCAACCACGTATTAATACAAATCGTTCAATAAATTTTGATGAATTAGATACAAGTCGATTACGTAATGATTCAAGTCAATCAATAAAAGATGCTGTTTATTTAGAATGGTTAAAAAATAAAGAAGATAGAAGAAAACTTGAAAAACAAGAATCAAAACGTTGGCAAGAAGAAAAAGCTAAACTTGTTGATAAATCTACAGTTGAACGTAGAATTCGTCAAGATGCACAAAAACTTGAACGATGGCGTCAAGAGAAAGAAAAAGAACTCATTGAGAGAAAACGAATAGAAAATGAAAAAATACGTGAACAAAAAGAAGAACAAAAACGAAAATCCCTGCAAAAAAAAGATGTAATAATATTTTCTTATTTTAAATGTTTATAATTTACATTCAAAATATATTCTAGGATTCTAAAGCTGGTTATGAACAATGGAAAGCACAAAAAGATGAAGTATTACAAGAACAAATTTACGAACAACGTAATAAAAAGAATGAAATTGAACAACGACAAGAAGGTTTTATTTATCTAATCTTTTTTTTTTTTTATTATTTTTGATTTACTTTAATTTGAATAGAAAAACAAAAGAAAGTTTTAGAAGCTGAAAAAGCTTATGAAAAATGGATGAATAAAAAAAGTGATCAAACAAAAAAAGTCAGCGAAACAAAAAAACATGTTCGACAAGATCAATTAAAAAACCTTCGTGAAAATGAAGAAACAAAATTTCTTAGTGCACAAGAAGCTTATGAAAAATGGCTTCAAGATAAAGAAAAATACGAAATTGAAGAAAAAATTAATACAACACGACGAAATTCTCTTACAAATAAACAACAACCAGCACCATTTTTACCGGGTGGTTCTCAAAAAAATACAGGAAAAATTCGACATGTTGTTTGGTAAAATAGTTTTTCAACATATGCGTGTGTGTCTTTTTTTTTAGTGTATTGTATATTCTTTTATTAGATGGGACATACAATAATTAACAGATATTTCATATACTGTAAAATCTTAAATATATATATATATGTTTTTTTCGTTTATTTGATTGAAATTTTGATGATTTGCGTACCTTTCTGTTCGTGCTCGTTTTTCGAATATTAATCATGAAAAATGAATAACATACAAAGCAAATGTATTTCGAATTCTATGAAAGTATATCTAAAAATCTCATATAGATATATAAACAAAAGAAAAAAGTATTCAAATTTATTTTTACTTAATAATACCAATAAAAATAAATCTTTATATTTATAAAATATCCTGGTGGAAGAGTAGAGCCGTTTACAGTGAAATACAACACGTTAACGGGGATGCATTTCTCAGCAAATACAGGACCAGTACAACTGAACGTGTGATAACGCATGTGGAAAATGGAAAAAATCCGTACTTCAGCGTACTCCAAGAGCATGTCAATGATATTTGTTCAGTGGTACAGGTGTGTTCGATCACCAATCGGCTAGATTGTCTAACTTCATGAATGGCAATAGATGATTACTGATTCTGTCTTCTATTCATTCACTTCTCATGTATCTCTTCGTCCTTGTTCCCTCTCAGGTATATAAACTCATGTCCTGGATTGAAGTAGATATAACTGGACTAATGAAGTAGTGTTATTACAATTAAATATGCAATGCATCGGAAAAAAAAGGAAACATCATCACATCTCTCTCATTTTCGTTACACTATCCTCTAGAAGTTTTTAGCTATTTCAAGTCTACTATCAATGTGTATCGCAAGTACTTATGTTTGAGTTCATTTTATAGAAGTCTGTCTAGTGATAAAATCTAATACGTCATCGTACTTCAGTGGTACTTAAATCTTGGAGCACGTTAAAGTATAGAGTATTTCCCTGTCATCCTTGGTGATAGTGACATTAGACGGCATAAAAAATTGTCGTTTACTGTAAAATACGGTTCATAGATAAATAGGCAATTACTCAGTATAACAATAGAATATGATAATCAACACTTCGATAAGTGATGGTGTCCAAAAATGAGAATGATATATGAAAGGACACATGTAAAAAAAAACCGGTTTATCTACGTTTTCTGTAAGCTACTTGAAGGAAACAAGAGATTAGGTTTTCGCCAAAACAAATCTTTCTTTGTTATTTTACTTATCTTTATTATAAAGAAAAATAAAAATATTGTATACTTGAAAATAAATTGACACATGTAGTGAGATGTCAATGGATATATTTATCCTGAAAAAAATACCTGAAATATTTCACGAAAATTGATCTTCGTGAAAAATTAGTATCTCTTTTGTCAGTTTAGTGAAGAAAAAGGATTCATTCATTTTTGGACAAAACAATATCATTTACTTGTGTTGCATAGCTTTTCTATGTATATAATATTTAGAAGAATTACAGTTAGAACCAGATTTTCAAGGAAAAAATTCAAAGATACATTATCGATAAGAGAAAAGTAATGATCAATGTTGAGAATATGACATTTTTATGACGTTAACAATCAATATTTATGTTTTTATCGTCTATCACACATTTAATGATCACCTATAAAACTATAAATTGCTTCAATAAATTTACAAGTTCAGTTGAAGAATTCATGGATGTTAATGACAAGAGTTACAAGTTTCGATACACAAAAACCTATGATGTCTTAGTTATTCAGAATAAAGTGCATGATGATACAAAAGTTATAAATTTCTTGATTAAATGATACTGTAATAAAAGTCTATTAAATGAAAAATGTCAACAGTCTTCTTACTTTTGATATATCATCATTTGCCTCTTCTACAACAGAAATTACTTCGACTATGTTTATTTGTAAATTTTCTTTTTGTTGTCAGAATCCAATTTAATCAATAGAAAAGGCAAACTCATTATCAATTATCTCATACAAATATTAATAAATAGAAATAAACGGTCATTTATATGATCTTCATCATTGACTGGTTTCGAAAAATAATCTTTCATTCTAAGAGATATATGAATAAGGGATCGTCGCAGGGAATATAAACTGAGGTGGGCCGTAGAATGGATTGATTGCAATACTTCAATAAAACTTTTTCGACAATTATTTTTATATCCAGGGCAATAATTCCGGTTCCTAGTTCCACACTCACCCTTCTTCCTCAGGAAAACTTCGTCTTTTTTGACCTGGGTGTTCATCAAATGAAATTTAATAAGTTTGGAGTTGAATCGGTTTATTTAACAGAATAATTTTCTACCAAACACTGATTACGAGTTAATTTATGAATTTAAAAAATGATACATCAGAGTGATGAAATTCCTTCTCTTAACTATTCAGCGATACGTGTTCATTCTTAGTTAACTAGTTATTTTTTGGTGCCTTATCATTCTAATCATTCCTACGAATGATCGTCTAGTTTTTGTGCATTGATACTTTTTAATTCGCCGAACCCAAGAGCCTTGCATAATTGCAAGGTGCTTGCCAGTATAGCTTTTATTGTATACAAAAAAAAACAAGAAATGTTTCAGTTCTCGATGACCACTATTTCTTATAATTATCGAAAAGTCATTCCTAAAAAAAAAAGTAATATTTATAGTTGCTTCAGTTTTAGTCATACAAGATTCGCTAACATTTATAGATAATTTCCTAAAATATGAACAACTCAGGAATTTCTACAAGAGTGTACCAATATTAATCTGAAAGTAGTAAAAAACAACAGTCTGTTACAGTGCAGGTATAATACAATATGGCAAATTTCTGCCGAGCATGCATACTCTACTGATATCAATAGATATAATTCTGAACAATGCTAGTATTTGTTCTCGATAGTAATATCTGATTTATGACAACCTATTTAGATAATGTTCATAAATGCAATTTCTTTCCAAATATTGAATTCAAGTAAAAAAAAATGAAGTTCTGCCAGAGGTAATGTACACAACGTTTAAAAAGATATTATTTACACTCTAAAAACTAGTCAACTCGTTCTGATTCATACAAATAATGTACAATCAGTATTTATAATTTTTTCCAGAAAAATATACAATAATTCGTTTCATTCAAACCAAACAGCATTCTGTTGTAAATAATCGACTATACAATCGATTATGAATCACACGATTTAAATTCTACCTTGTTGTATTATGCCTTTAAATCCTATGGATATTTATATAAGGCAAAAACTAGTATCGATAAACGAAACGAAAATTGTCGCTCTTATTCTTTTTGATGATATTACAAACTATATTCACTTAAAGACTTATATGAAATATAAATACCTTCTCTTGTGTGTATGTGTACTTTTTTCTGCGGTAATATCGTTTATTTCTCATCCGGTGGTACGATTTACTGTTCAAGCTGGAAAAAGTAAATATTTTTATTATACAATTAGTAAACATTATTGGTATTTTTGACTTTAATCGTAGGTATAACTCGTACTGAAATCGTTCAACTTGGTTTTATTCGAAGTCTTGCTCAATTTTTTATTGATGCTAAAATTCGAGATGGAAGTGGAATTAACACTGAAGATTTTAAAAAAGAACATACTATCGATGAACTTTATCAGTTAGCTCATCCTGATTGGACGAAAGACAAAGTAAAACTATATTCTTATCCATTGAAAAGTATTATTGATAAGATTCAAGTGAGAAATGCTACCGTTGATTTTAATCCATCAACAAAAAATTTATCATCAGCTCATTTTGATAGTGAATCATTTAATGAAAGCAATCATCGAATAATAAGATTGAGAAAGTAAGGTAGCTATTTTTGATTAAATATACTTAATCATTTTTCTTTGTAGTTATCGAAGATGCAAGTGATCCAAATAATGATTTAGATGCAGCACGTGGAAAAAATTGGAGATTTACTTCATACACTTCAAGATTTTTATTCTCATTCAAATTGGGTTGAAATGGGTAAAACAGAAATAAATCCTCATATTGGTATTCAAGAAAATATTGGTCGAATAGCTGAAATCACTCAAGCAACATGTAGTAGTGTTGGATGTAAAAAAATTCAATCAAAATGTGTAAGATTAATATTATTTACAAGAAAAAGAGAACAATACATTTTCATTGTTTAGAATCTCATTCAAAAATTTATTATAAAAACATGTCCAATGGAGTATTATGAATGTAAAGATAATATCCTAGATGAAATCAATAAACAAGGTATATTAACTAGTGGTTACATGTCTAATCAGTTCACTGATAAAGGAGAACCAATAGTAAAACCAACTAATGTACAAAAATGTTCACATGGTTCTGTTATGGATAAAACATCTCATCAAGTACCTATAGGTGGTATCAATAAAGATGCAATGACATCTATGTTTTCTCCTCATTATTATCTTCAGTAAGTATGTCATTTGATTTCTTGTTCTTTCTCAAAAAAGTCATTCTAGTATTAAAGCAGTTCAATTCGCAGTAGAGGCTACTGAACGATTCTTCAATGATTTACGAAAAGATTTCGGTGATACAAATTTTGATCGTCTATTTGCCATTAATCCAACTGAAGTACAAATCCAGCAGGCAATGATTGCCATAGAAAATCATGAAAAGTTTCATTTTCTTACATCAGCACTTTCAATAGGTCTAAGCACTCGTGATATTAATTTTGATAAGGCAATAAAAAACCGAATTCAAGAAATTATTTCAGTCCTGTTTAATTCCAACGATGATACTGCGCCAACATATGATCTCAGTGACATTGGAGTCGACAAAACTAGCGTGAACATAGATGGAGCGTCGTTACTAATCGACAATTCGAAAAGTATCAAAAGAAGACGATTTGGTCGACGTCGATATAAATGGACTATGATATAACAACCTTTTTCTTTCATATTATTTCTATATGTCTTCATTCAAATATTTTAATTTTACTATAAAAAAGACAAATATTACTCATCGAAAATAGAATATGACTATGATGATATGAGCAGCCATTTTTTATCTATTAGAAAAAGATAATTTCTTTTGGCTATATGTTAGAAAAAATGAACTCAATTGTGTTTTTCACTGAAGAGGTATAAAATAGTAAAATCTAGCGGATAATCCGAACTGGCTTAAATTTGACGAAGGACATGACTGTGATAAAATAGATTTCGGTGCAAGCTGTTACAAAGTTTTGAACTGTTGAAGAACAATCACTCTTATATAGAAAATCTCGAATGAAATAAAGATTGTTCTTCTAATTCAGTATGATCACAGAAATTTCATATATAGGGTAAATTTCAAGTGTAAGCATAAATATTTGACATAAATATTGATATATTTACTAACTATTATTCATTTTTTATCGATGAATAAGTAAAACAAACATAAGTTTCTTCGTATGACTCCATTCCAGTCATTGATGTGTTACCGTCTGTGAGGCGAAGGGAGAGTCACGTCTTAAATCTCATTCTATACTTTAATGTTTCTTTTAGTTCATGTCCACAAAGAAACAATAACATTAGGAAGATACACTTACATATAATTATAGGTAATGAAACAAAAACAGTAATTTAAATCAAGTTTTTAAAACTATAGTCAGTCGTTGCTGTTGGTGATCTCTACATCAAACTTCATTCAATTTGTGGTATCTGCCTAATAAATAATAATATTTTTAATATCATTTTTTGATTTATATTTTGATAGACATTTCATATATTATCGTAGAATCATTAGCTTATGAAAACTAATACTAAGAAAGAAAATGTTGAAAAGAATATTGACAAAATCAAATATTGACTGTGATATTATAAAACTTTCCAGGTCAAAAAATTTAACTATAACATTTTCTGCAATTCTTGTATGATTTTCAAGAATGTTCTGCAACATTCTATACCAAATTTGGTGCTATGTTTTCGTAGTCAACTGTTCAATTAATGAAGAAAATAATTCTCTTAATTTAACGTTGATAAATATTGACGTATAAATAATAATTGATGTGTTTTATTAAAACGTACTTCCAGCCATAATTTTGTTTTTAATATAAGGTCATATCACGTTGTGTAAAGTGAAAATTTCACAGAAGCTAATGTCTGGTAATGATACTTCTACTCAAACACAAAAAATTTCTTACGAGAACGGAATCGAGAAGTCTCTCTATAAAATACTATTTTTTCATAGTCAGAATCTCATCAATCAGCGACGACATGAGTTAGAAAGATGAAGTTTGCTGTTGATGTGAGACTCTTAGGAAACAGTAATATATTAAAAAAAATATTCAAATCGATGGACGGCAACAAAACCGATTAGCCAAATACAACTAAAATCTGAATTGTGTTTAAAGTGGCAATTCACTCTCCCACAATAGTTTTGTTCAAATCCTTCATAACGATATGTTCATTTTTTTTCCAAATTCATCAAGAAGAATAGACTTTGTTGGATTCATATACGACGGTTTATAGACTGTTAAAAAAAGTCTTTTGTTCACAAATTGACTTTTTCTTTGATTTATTCGTTAGTAAATGATACGAAGATTATTTCAACATGGTTCGTTTTTATTCACAAATATTTTTTTTTCATAATTTATCTGACGAGTTGAATATACACAAAAAAGAAGAGTAAATTATTGAATTATCATAAAATCACAGTTACAAATACATACAATAAAAAAAAAAGATAAACAAATATTTTTCTTATTCAATATTTTCAACTAATTCGGCTGCTTGATCTCTTAAATCTTCAGCTTGTTCACAAAGTAAACGCTAAAAGAGAAAATATAAACATTTATAAATGAAATGAATTCAATTACTTTTGAATGTTTCACAAGAATTTGTGCTGTTCGTAATGGTAAATTAAGTACAGCTTTCATGAGATCATTCGGTTGAGCTTTTGCTAAACTTCGAAGTGTACGATAGCCTGCACGAACTAATTGTAAAGCACGACCCTATTATTTATTTGTTTTTATTAGTTTAAAAAATATTAAAAAAACATGAAAATATATTAAAATCTTTTACTCGTTTTATTCCTGGAATTTCCATTATTGGAAGAATTTCTAATGATGTACAAAATGTTAATCGTTGAATGAAAATTGGTACTTCAAATTTATGAAAATAAAAAGTACGATCAATTATTATTAAACACAACTTACATAATTGATGATAAGGCCAAAATTCATCATAAGACTATCGAAAAATAAAATAAAAATCAGTATTAGAATTATTTAAACTTACTTTACTAAAATAAAGTATTGATGTAGCAAATGAAGCAGCTTGAGAATAAAGATTTTGAATTACACCACGAGATTGATCCCAAAATTTAGCAACATCATAAAAACTTTTATTTTTGAATAGATCATATAATATCATAGCAATATAAAAACGTAACATTGTTTCTTTGCTTACTTTCTAAAAACAAAATAAAATCATTTATTTACAAAGATTATTATTTTCATTTATACTTGTTGTGCTGGTAAACCAACAGCTTTTTTATGCAAAAATGTTTCATCGATCTCTAATAATTTTAATACAATTTTTTCTTCATTTTTCATTTCTTGCATCTAAATAAGAAAGAAAAATATGAATTTTTTATTTATTGATATGATTATTTGCACTTAAACATTTTATAGTTACGTTGAAATGTCTCAAATTCAACATTAGATCTACTTGTAGTCAAGCTATTACAATGTCTTAATGAACTGATTAGATCAGAAAGAGACAATGATACTTGTATAGCTGCAGTTCATTATATGGTCGAAAAAGAAAGAGGTATTCGATTTGAATCGATGTCTACAAATTATGAGTATAATCATTGTGCTATGTATAGAATATAATAAGCCCGAGAATTGTGGCCGATGAACACGGCCGAATTGAGATTACTATACCGGCAAATTAGATTTTTCTGTTATTTGTTTGGATAATACTGACTACAGTAACTAACTGTTATTCTTGTGAAATCTCAATCATTTTCGATGTTAATATCGAAATGAATCAACTTATATGCTTGGCCTAAATCTAATGTTTATATTAGATTCCAATAGACTTCTACACAGCTTAACTATTAGAAAATCAATGTTACTATAAGCATTATCCTTATTTAAAAAATATACCATATTCCATCGGAACTAAACATAACAGCAAAGACGGTATCAACAATGACAACTGTGAACGCTATATCATTTCATAGTCAAATAACTTCCATGTTAACAATCAATATTCCAACGACAGTAATATCATCTAACACTATCGTATATCGTTCTACAATTACTGAACGAATCTCATGTGTGGAAAAGAAAAAGAACTTTTTGATTAGTGGGATTGTTGGTATCGTTCTTGGATAACTATTTTTGATTACTTGTTTTATGAAACTTGAACAAATTTTTGAATATATTGAAAATATTACACTTTTACATAATGAATAATCTTCTGTATTGGCCACTGACATGACCATTTATACATAGATTACAAAAGCTAAATGATTCATTGAATCTCCATCGTGGTTCCAGTCTAGAGAAAATTATTCCAGAATCTATTCGTATCACATCTGAAAAAAAATCTTCAATACTAATAGTATTTTGATTTAGCTGGTTGATGATTAGCATTGTTTTGCGTCATCTCTTTTGAATATGCCTTGATTGATACGATTTCTAAGGTAATTTGCTTAAAACCACAGAGTATGAAATCATAATCATTAGTCATGCTTGGAGAAATTCTTTTCTCGTAGTTTCGATCTTGGCAACTTCTCTTTTTTTCTAAGACTTCGACTTTATGGGATAGATGTTGCTTTTGCTCATTCAATAATACGACCATAGAAAAAAATCAAGCCTTCCTACGTTGTTCTGTTCTCTTTTTAAAATTACCTTGTAGAAAGAGTAGGATACTCGGTTGATCAGATCACAACACTATCGGTATATGCTCTAGTTATTGAGTTATTTTATCCGTAGCTCTTCTAAGCTCGCTGTGGCCGCCGGTAAAGGATTAAACTGTTTAAATCATGAATTGATAAATGCAAAGCTTACTGTTTTTTTTTATAAACGTGTTTCATAGACTTACTCGATCAACAAGTTGACGAAATCCAATAGTGATATTAGGTAGATCAAATGGTATTGTAATATAGAGTAAATGCAATGGATTTTCCAAATTCATATTAATCAAACTTTTTGCTAAATGATTGTAAAGTGAATCAGCCAATCCTAATTCCACACTACCTAAAGAAATATTCAATTATTATCGAATGTTTTCAAATAAATCAAAAAGTTTTGTATTAACCTTCGACAGTTGCTTTGCCTAATTTTGTTGTTTCATAAACATGTTTTTTTATTTTTCCATTACTATTATCATTACTTTCTTGTCCTTCTTCTTTGATATGAACAATTTTTGTATCAATAAGATATTGTAAACATTCATCAAGTACATTTTCAAGATTAACATTAAGACGATCAGCTTGCAAAGCAAGAAGAGTCTTTTGTAATAGATTCAATAATGATTCATAAGTTGAGCATATCTAATCATCAATAAAATGATCTATTAAAAATATTAACTAAAAAAAAACAAGTTTATTTACTTTTAGGCTAATTGCATTTAATAAAAGTTGTTTAATTGCATAATTATTATTTGTAGCTAAATGACTATCACAACCAGTACTATTTTCAGCTACAGTAAATAACATTTCTCGAAGCTAAAAAATACAAAAAAAGAATGAAATTCTTTTAAAAATATCATATAAATATGTACTTGTTTCATATCTCTTTCATGAGCAATTACATAACATTCACCAGTTTGAGATTGACCTGTTCGACCAGCACGACCTTTTCATACAAAACAATGTAAGAGATAATCGTTTACTATTTAAAAGACTTTTTTTTACCGCTCATTTGTTTATATTGTGCAAAAGTTAAA